GGACCAGGCGGCTGCCCACACAGCCAGCGCTTTCATCGCACAGAGGTTCCACAGCTCGGCTGTCAGAGCCAGCCAGGGACTCAGCCCTGTGCTGTGAAGGGCTCAGCATCGCTCTGTACTGGGGCCAGCAGACAGCCGGTCAGGAGAGACTGATGGGGAGCAGAAAGCAACAGGGAAGGGGGAGGTCACTGCCCGAGCAGAGCAGGAGGAGAGATCAGGAGAGGGATGGAGAAGACCAGATACAATTGTGAAAGAAAAGAGGAGAGGATGGGGCGGGGGGGGAGGAGAAGCCCCCCAGATCCAAGCTAGGAAAGCCCGTGTTCACCACAGACCAACACTGGCTCCAAGTGCATCAGGCAGGGGAGAGCCTGGGGGTGCGAGAATTGAGAACAGGAGGGCAGGGAGGAATGAGCAGCATCTGGCTCAGCAGGGTGGGAAGAAGGGACCTGGCCAGAGCTGCAAGCCACCCAGGCAAGCCCAGCCAGATATGAGGAGCCCCAGGCAGGTAGCACAGGCTGGGCGAGCCTTCAAGGGAGCAAAGGACAAGGTCCCAAGCTCTGGTAAGGCCAGGGACTGTCAGGCAGGAGAGACTTGATGCTCTCCTCAATGGGATAGGGACAGTCAGTGCCACTGCCTCCCTGCAGACATGCTGCTTACAGAGGAGTCGTCACCTGCCCAAGGCTGCCCACTATGTACACCCTGCTGTCACCTCCCACCGCAGACAGGCTACGTACACCCCACTGCCACCACTCCACACAATGGAGCTTGCACATAACCCTGTGCCGCCTCTCCCTGTGGTAGTGGCTGTGTACCCCCCTGTGCCTCCTCCCGCTGCAGTACAGGCTGCAGATGCTGCCACCTCCTCTGGGGACAGGGGTTGTACCCCTCCCTGTGCCCCCTCCTCCCAGAGGAGACAGGCTGCACCCCTCTGTATCACCTACCCCTGCCGCACAACCTGCGCACACACCTCCGCTACCCCCCGACACAGAGATCGCACCCACCCCTGTGCCACCCCGCTGTGGGGTACGGGCTGTGAGCACCCCGCTGCCACCTCCCGCATGCGGAGCGCAGGCTGAGTACACCCCCGTGTCACCTCCCCCTGCAGCACAGCCTGCGCACACCCACGCTGCCTTTGGCAGTACAGGCCAGGCTGTATCAAGGGGTTGCTTGTCACCCATGGCTGAAGCTCTTCATTTCAGGGTCCCAAATGTCCCACGGAGCTCTGCCAGGCAGAGGCACCCCTCCCTGCCATAAACCAAAGTGCCCCAGCGCAGACCTGCCAGGAGCCATGGCGCATTCCTGCCTCGCTCGTGGGGCTCTCAGCATCCTCACTAACTCCCCAGAAGCCAGCGTGGCGTACGACCCACTCCTCGCCCCCTCTTGTGCTCCTCAACTCCCACAAGCACCCCATTGATGCTCACAAGCTGCTGTGCATTCACAGTTGTTTTACAGAGCCCAGCCACTCCTCCCAGCACAGTTAGGGCTCAGCCCCCGCACCGGAGCCCCCGGGACCTCACCGACACACTCCCTCATTCAGTCTCTGCACGTCAGAGCCAAATCTGAACCAAGTGCAATTGATCCCGTGAGCAGGAGCTGATTTCGCAGTGCCTTGGAACTGCTCCCAGCACAGTGTCTTTCTGAAACTGGGGAAAAACAGGGCAGGTCCCCCATGAACCCTCAGCTCCATCTGCAGCTCGTTGCTGGATCCATTTATCAGCTCATTCCACGTGAACGACCTTGAGAAAATCCACTGACCCAGGACGGTAGGAGACTTTCCCAGACATCTGCCAACACCTAAACCTGCAATTTATGGAGACTCTAAGCTAAATTCTAAAACAAGACAATTTCATTTCTGTCCATTACAGTTACAATATTCCTCTTATCCCCCCCCGCAGAGAGTAATTAATACTGCACCGTGCTTTTAAGCCTGCAGGCAGGTGCAGGCACCTCTGCTGAGCTTGCAGTAGCATGCTGAAGCTAACACCACTCCAGCCACCTTCTCAGATGGTGGGGGGCTGTGGGGACCCGGGGCAGTCTTGGGTTTGTGCAGCCAGGAAAGTATGTAGCATAGCCCTCCTGGTCTAAAAAAGCCCGAAATGATGGAGCCTGGGAGACGGGCAGAAGAGAGAGATGCTCCCCACGCCAGCGTCTGAGAGGTTGCGTTCTCACCCCACGTTCATCAAAGAGCTGCCGAGGACAAGGAAGAAAGGGAAACTTCTCTCAGAAAGTTCCCAAAGGGAAGCAGATAGCAACACTGAGCCAAGCCCCCAGACTGCCCTGCCCAGCCCTGCAGGAACTAGTTATTTAGGTGGTTGCTGGTGTCTCCTTTCCTCCTCTGCAGCCATTGCATCTCCCCGCAGGTCCCAGCTCTGCCTGCCTAGGAGGCCCAGACACTTCCTGGACGGTTCAAGATAAAACCTTATGCTGTTAGCAAAACAAACTAGGAGGCTGTGAGAGCCAAGGCTGGCACAGGAATGAAACCACCGAAGCCAGAACCACTGGTTTCCCCAGATGATCTAATCTCTCCCAGAGCCAGAGCTCCTCTTCTCCAGCAGCCTGGTGCAGCCGGTTGGAGCCCCTGGGGAAGAGGTGAAGCTGGCATGATGGGTGCAGGGATGTCTGCCCCAGTTTGAAAGAAAAACCATGAGAAAGAGGAAGAGGTGGCCCCGGAGGGCGTCCCTGAGATGTGATGCTTGGCTGGAGGGAGGGGGCTGTAGGACAGCCCCATCCAGGGCCTGGGGAAGGGGTGCTGTGCTGCTCCTGCCTAGCAGTATCTATCCTCTCTCCAACCCGCTGGAGACAAGAGCCTGAGCAAGCCCTGTGGCAGCAGCATCACCCCCAACCTGCCTGCCAGGAGGGGCAGAGCCATTTTTATGGGGAGCATGGCCACCTGGCTCCATCCTGGCTCCCTCCTGCAGCCCCACCGCCACCAGCAAGCCTGCCTGGGAGGACCTCTCCTTCACTGCAAGGGTACCCATTGCATCCCAGGGTGGGGGGGAGCACCTTGTTTCGGGTGCTTCCCCCCGGCGCTGCTGACGCACTGAGACTCCATCTGCAACCACGTGCGTCCTCATTCCAGCACTGCAGCGGGCGAGTTGCAGGCATCTTCCAGCCCTCACCAGCAGGATTTGGGTCATGCTAGCCAGGCATCGCGTGGCAGGGTTCTGCTCCTCCATGCACTGGCTTTGGAACACGGGTGGGTCTCAAAAGGACATGGGTATGAACCAGGAGAAGCTATAGAGGGGGATGTTGGGGTGGAAGAAAACTGGGCTGGCTGGTCCGTGGCTCAGACTGCCTCCACATCCACACATGCACATGTGTGTGTATGTACATACATGTGTTGTGAACCAGGTCCTGGAGGAAGCTGTCTCCTTAGAGGGCCAGGCAGTGACTAGAGATAGGAGTTGTCAATCTGGGGAGGGGGGGCTCAGTACCATGAGGCCCCATGCTGGGGCACGGTGGAGGGCTCATGGAGATGCCTGGCCCACGTGAGCATCACTTCTGGGCGCTGCGGGGCCCGGGTGCTCCGGTGGCTGAGGACATGGAAAAGATGCCTGGGAAATTGCTGGGAGCAAGAGCATCTTCAGGGGCAGTAGGGAAAATAAGGCACAACCGGTCAAAAATAGAAAACTTTATTGAATTCAAATCCAACAGGGCAGTTGAGCTCAGCCCCACGGCAGGAGCCCAGCCTGCCGCTCACCGGGATACAAAGAAGGGAGCAGGGGTCTCCACAGGGCACAGAGGGTACAGCACAGTGGGGGAGTGGGTTTTCCTCACTCACAGGACCGCAGGAAGAAGGCAAAGCCACAGGCACTCATCCCCCCTCTCCCTCCCTAGCTACTTAAGGATAGACCCGACAGGCGCCAAAGCAGAAACGTGGTGCAAGCTAACTAGCCAGACGGCCCAAGGAAAGAGGGTCCTGCAAGCTCCAGGCTCATCCCACGACCTCCTGGGACAGTTCCAAGCTCCAGTGCACACCAGCAAGCAGCCCTTCCCAGTCCGCAGCCAAGACCTACCTCCGCCTTGCCCCGCACGCAGCAGAAACCCCCGGCTGGACCTAGAGCAGTGACCCGACCGCAGCACGCAGCAGAGACCCCAGTACCCCGCTCCTCCAGCCCTGAGCTCGAGACCCAGCCCCAGCCCCAGCACACGGCCGGACCCATGCCGCCTGATGGAAGCGCCCCGGCCGCCAGGATCCGCTCTCCCCCTCCGCAGCGGCTGCAGCACGGCTGCCGCAGAGCCGTAGCTCCGGGCCCGATGCTCGTGCTAAGGGAAGCCCGGTTTTCACCCCGCCGACTATGGCAGAGGGCCCAAGCCTGGGGGAAGCCAGAGCTTGAGCCTGGGAAAAAGGCAGAGCTTTGCTCCTCCACCCAGCCCCACCTGCCTGGGCAGCCACAGCGGGCGCAAAACTCCCTTTTGGGTGGCTTTGTGCACGGATGGTTAAAAGGTTCAGCCGCACCGGCAGAGCCAGGCTGGCAACAGCAAGGCTAGTGCCTTCCTCACTGCTCCCTGGACAGGGGCAGGGCTGGAAACGGGCTGCCCAGAGCTGTGGCAGGAGCTGGACCAGTCTCTCCTCCCCACCAGTCAGCCCAAGCGGAGGGATGGATGGGAGGGTGGGCATTGCCCTCCTCGGTGCTCTTACAGCTGGTCCCCAAAGGGGACCAGGGCGAGTGGGATTCCCTCCCCAGAGCTCCACATGCAGAGGCACACGCATGCAGCACCCTTCGCATCACCGTCACCCAGGCAGCGCCGCCAGGACCCAGCCCCGGGCGCTCTGACAAGGGGTCTGACAGTTTTTGGACTCCCCCTCCCACCATCCCCATCCCCTCCCCAGCCCACAACCAGGCTCAGTGGCTCGGCTCCGGGGTAGTCCTCCGCCAGCCTCCCAGGCCACGCGTGCAGGGCTGGGGGCCAGTCCACGCTCACTCCCAAACCTCTGTCCAGATGGCTCCCCGATGCAGGGGGGGGGCCGCTGCCGGCCTCAGGATGAGCTCTCCTACCTGCTTGTTGGTGTATTTCTGGGGATTGGTGCGGTAGCTGTAGTCCGAGTACTGCTCGGAGCCCGTCGAGTTGTTGTCCCCGGTGCCAACAAAGGTGTTGGTGGCCGGCAGGTCCTGCACCACTTGGTGCTTCTTGGAGGCAGAAGGCGACTGAGGCTGCAGCTGGATGGAGGGCAGCGGCGAGTTGGAGCGGTAATGGCGACCCAGGTCTGGGCTGCCTGGTGGGTAGTTGAGAGGCAGGTGGATTCGGGGGCTGTCGCTGACAGAGTCGTTCATGAGGTTGAACTTGAGCGATTTCTGCAGCCCTGTCTCCTCCTCATCCTCCGTGGGCTTGGGCGGCTTCGGAGACTTGCTCTTCTTCACCTTGCTCTTGCTCTTACCACTCTTGCTGGCCTGCTTGGGTGCATACAGGTCCTTGGTCTCCTTCTTGCCTGCCTGGTAGCCACTCTTGGCCTCCCGCTGCCGGCAGTAGCGCACCAGGACAACCAGCACGATGACCAGGGTGACAGCCACAATGCCAGCAATGACTCCAAAGAGGATGTTGCTTCGCTGCTTGCTGCGCTCATATTCAGGGTCCCCGGCGATGTCTATGTCGAGCGGTGTATCCAGGCTGTGCCCCACCAGCGTGTCCAGCAGCGTGCGGTTGGCTAGCGTCTCGTTGACGTAGAAGTGCACCAGGGCTGTGCCGTGCCGTGAGGGCTTGCCCTTGTCATTGACACGCACTACCAAGCGGTGCAGGCCATGGTGCTTGCGGAGGATCTCCTTCTCCAAGGTGATGTCTCCACTGTGCGGGGAGATCTGGAAGAGCTCGAAGGGGTTGCCTCCTGTGATGCTGTAGGTCAGCTCTGCATTGACACCGGAGTCAATGTCCTCCGCCTTGACCTTGCTCACCTGCTGGCCAGGGCTGGTGTGGGGCAGGATGTGTTTGTAGGTGGCATTGGAGGGTGAAGTGATGAAGGGGGCGTTATCATTCTCATCCAAGACGTTGATGGTCACCCCCACGTAGGCAGACCTGGGAGGATCCCCACTGTCCACTGCCTTGAGTCGGAAAGTGTACGTGCTCTGCTGCTCCCGGTCAAAAGAGATGCTGGAGAGGATGGTGCCGGTGCCATTCTGGATGACAAAATCCCCATTGTCTTGCTCCACCGACAGCTGGATGCGGGCGTTTTCTCCTTTGTCAGCATCGATCACCGTCACCATGCCCACAGGGCTGAGGGGCGGCATGTTCTCCATCACTGAGAAGTTGTAGCCGCTCAGCATGAACTTGGGGTCGTTGTCATTCCTGTCCATGACATTGATGGCCACAGACGCTGTGCCCTTGAGGCTGGGGCTGCCCTTGTCTGCCGCCACCACCAAGAATTCATAGCGTTCCCGCTGCTCTCGGTCCAGCACTGCCTTCACCCGGATCTCCCCGGAGTCGGGGTCAATGGTGAAGGAGCCCTTGGAGGAGGGGTCTGTCACCAGGGAGTAAACCAGCTTGGCATTGGAGCCACTGTCAGCATCGCTGGCACTCACCTCCATCACCAGATCGTCGGGCTCATTGTTCTCAGGGAAGGCCACCTCGGTGAAGCTCTGGCTGAAGACAGGCGCGTTGTCATTCACGTCCACTACTTGCACCTTCAAAGAGTTGGTGCTGGAGAGGGGCGGGTTCCCCGAGTCCACCGCCACAATCTCAATAGTGTACTCCTTCACCGACTCGTAGTCCAGTGGCGTGGTGGTCTGTAGGAAGTATTTCTTCTTGGTGTCACTCCCTGTTTCACTAGCCTGCCGCAGCTGGAACGGGACATCACCAGCCACCACACAGGTCACCACAGCGTTTTCGCCCTCATCTCGGTCGGACACCTGCACCAGAGCCACTGCTGTCTCTACTGGCACATCCTCCGAGATGTTTGCCATGCCATCCTGGTGGGTGACGAGCCCAATACCTCGGATTTCTATGGAGGGCGCATTGTCGTTCATGTCCTTGATGGTGACCACCACCTGGGTGCGGGCACTCTTTGGGTTGGCCCCCTTGTCCTTGGCCATGACGGAGAACTTGAGGATGTTGACATCCTCGCGGTCGATGGGTCCCTGCACGGTGATGAGCCCCGTGGTGCGGTCCAGGCGCAGCAGCCGGCGCACCATGTCTGAGGCTTGGTGGAAGGAGTAGTCAATTTCGGCGTTGGCGCCCTGGTCCGAGTCATTGGCCTTCACCTGCGGGATGGAGGGAGAAACGGTGAGCAAGAGGGCAAGCCAGTGCGAGCCCCTCCGCAAACCGCCGCGCTGCCCACTGCAGCCTCCTCTGGGGATAGCTGGGGGGAAAAAAACAGGATTTCCTCTTCTGGGGCCAAGGACTATGAGGCAAAGAGCCTGGGACCGTCAGAGCAGCTGGGAGCGGCCCTCCGGCACAGAGGCTTTTCTTTGCTCTTCCAGTAAAACCGGCTAGGCCGGTTGGCTGCGCTCCTCTCCCGGCCAGCTCCAGCACGCAGGGAATCCTCCGGGAACCCGTGCCTCTTCGACCCAGGCAGCAGCAGCAGGGAGGGACTTCTCCAGCTGTGCCCGCTCTGCAAAACCCTCCCCAAAGAGGGGCTGGAGCAGCTGCCTGGCTGATGTGAGGATGAGGAGGATGGAGGCAAGGATGTGCGGAGCTGCAGCAGCGTCATCCCAGCATTCAGGGATTCAGCCAAGCGGGGACTGGGGCTGCCTGAGCTCTGCACAGCACCAGCCATCCCTGCCCACCCGTCAGGAGCTCTGCATTCACATAAACCTGCCTCTACGCCTATTATTTGCTTTCTAAAGAAGATGAGGTTTGTCTAACATTTGCCTCCCTAATCGGCTCTCCGAGCAGCCTCTTCTCTGCACCATTTGCTGCTCTGCCGTTATCTTGCTCAGCAGATTTGGATGGAGAACGAAAGTTGTTAAATGTAAATTCCACCTTTTACCTCCACTCACAAAAAAGGCGGAAGTCATTTTCCCCCTGAAAGATAAAAGCTGAGCAATGGCAGCAGTGGCGTCTCAGCCCATTCTCCTCCCGGCCGTGCAGCTCCCTTATCTGCTTCCAACTTCCATTCTCTTAACAGTGAAAAATGAATTCTTAAAAAATTCACATCAGAATTAGCAAGCAGATGAGAGCTGGCCGCGCTCCGCTTATTAAGATGGCAGCTGCAGATAAACAGATGTCGGCTACTATCATCTCAATGCCCCCTCCAAGCCAAATCCACTGAGATTCATCCCCTCGGGCTCCCCGGTCTAGTTTGCACCGCTGCCTGAGATGGGGCAGAACCCCTGGCCCCTGCAGACAGCAAGGCACCCCTGGAGTCATGGGCAGCCCCCCCAGATGGGCAGTAGGGACGCTGCCTGCCCCCCATCTCTTGTGTGAGCCTGAGTTTCCATGGAGCGGCCAAGGGAATGCAACTTATGAAAGGGTCTATGTCTTGTCTGCGGGCAGCATTGAGACAGGTCTGGCATGAAGCCAGACTCCCCATGGACCTCAGGTCCCAGCCCTCCCCATAACCCAGAGCCTTTCTCCCACATATCCTCCAGCCCTGCTGCTGCCCCTCAGTCGTGTCCTGCAGCCCCCGCTCTGGCTGCACCTTCCTGCGCATCCTTTCCAACCTCGTTTTAGCAGATGTGACATCCCAGGGACCTGCCTGCCTGATGGCCACAGGTGACACTGTGGGCTCCTATGGCTTGCAATTCTTCTAGGCTCCCTCCTCCTTTGAAGAACCGTGGCAGCAAGCGGTTGTACAAATGCTTCCCAGGCTGTCCCTGCTGCAGCCAGGTAGGAGGGGAGCTGGGGAGAAGAAAGCCCCTGCACTCACCTGGAGGACAGAGTGCCCCACAGGGCTGTTTTCAGAGAGCTCCGCCTCATACAGGGCCTTCTCGAACTTGGGTGCGTTGTCATTCATGTCCAGGATGGTAATGCGAAGCAGGGCGCTGCTCGCCCGTGGTGGGTTGCCTCCGTCCTGCACCTTAATGGTCAGATCGTAGGAGTCCCACTGCTCCCGGTCCAGGTTCCCCATGACGATCAGCTGCGGCTGCTTCTCGTCCTGATCCTCCGCCACCTGCAGCCCGAAGAGCTCCTGTGCCTCCGGACCAGCCGTCAGCTCATAGGAGGCAACGCCATTGGGGCCCGAGTCCCTGTCCATGGCCAGAGGGATGGGGAAGAGCGTCCCAATGTTGGTGTTTTCGGGGATGGAGAGGGTGAGAACGGGCGAGGCGAAGTTGGGGGTGTTGTCATTGATATCAAGCACCTCTATCTGCCCCTCAAGCAGGCGTGGGCTGCTGCTCAAGATCAGGTCAGTGATGGACACTTCGAACTCCAGGAAGCAGGGCTGTCCAGGCAGGAGGTGCTGGCACTCACGCAAGCTCTCCCGGTCGATGGAGGTCTCTGTGGTGTAGATGTCGCCAGTCTTGCCATCCACACGTAGGTACGGGGCCCCCACTTCCAGCTTGTAGAGGTGCCCCACGTCTGGGAAGCCGTAGTCGGAGGCCAGGCTCCCTATGAGGGTGTTGGGGGGTTGTTCCTCCTGCACTTTGTAGACCACACGCGTCCCAGAGACTAGGGCAGGGAGCTGGAAGAGGAGCCACAGGCCCAGGCAGGATGCCAGTGGTTTCATCCCGCACTGCAGGGGAGCTGCAAGGAGATACAGACACCAGAGGTTAGGCAGCCCCAGGCCCCCAGGACCGCTCAGCCCCAGCCCATTTCCCTGGCGTATCCTTTTGGGTGCAGCCCCTGTGCCATGCAGGACTGCACATGGTCCCAAAGCAGCCCCCTGAAGGGAAGGGGCTTCAGGGGCTCGCCTGGCAGAGCTGGCCCCAGCCATGGTCTCCTGGCAGCCTCCGCAAGCAAGTGCCCAGGAGGACCGGTCCCGGCTTGCAAAGTTCCTGCAACGCCCTGCTCGAGTGAGCAACCCAGTCATTGAAACCTCAGCCCTGGCTTCCTGTCACTAGCAGGAAGCCAATCCTGCCACTGTCCACCCTCTTCATCACCACACAAACTGTAATTAGACCCAACGAGGCACACTAACAGGGTGGACTGCACGCAGCCTGCTGCCAGCAACCCGATGGAGCCGGCCAGGCTCAGAGACAGCTTCTCACCACAGAAACACAGGAGCATTGTGTGCCACGCACTGCAGGGGCACTGCCTGCCACGCACGGCAGGGACACAGAGGCACTGCACGAATCTGCCAGCCCTGCACAAACAGGAGCACCAAAAGCGGGGCAGGGGCTCTGCCTGCCCTGCAGGGATGCAGGGCTGCCACCCACCCAGCACTGCAGGGACATGGGGCACTGCACGGATACAGAGCTACCTCCCATCCGTCACCGCAGGGACACAGGGCACTGCCACAGCGGGGACAGAGCAGCACTGCCCTCCCTGCACTGCCGACACAGCAGCACTGCCAGCCTGGTGCTGCGAGATACGAAGGCACCACCCATCCAGCACTGCAGAGATGCAGGAGCCCCGAGCATCATCCATCCTGCACTGCATGCGAGGCACTGCCATCCGCCTGTGCCCCTCGCAGAAAGAGAGCCATTGCCCACCCTTGCGTTAGAGTGACTCACTGCCCACCCTGCACTGCAGTGCAGACATACCCCACAGGGCAGAGCCTGTGCCTCCCCGCGGAGCAGCGGCACTGCACAGCCCCAGCACACTGCAATGGTAGGCACAGCATCTCCCCTCTGCTGCACAGTCACTAGGCAACCCCACACCCTGCGCCAGCAAATACTGTTCCCTTCACTCACTGCAGACACACTGTTCCTTCCCATTCCCTCCCACTCCCAGACTGGGACACTGCATGCACACACTGGGTGCCCACCCTGCCCCGCAGGCAGGACCCTGCCAGTGCCAGTGTCCACCCCACCCGCTGCAGAGGCAGTGACAGAAGTACTGCCCCCCCCCGCATTGCAGAGACACACACTGCACACGCTGCACCGCAGGCACCCAGCCACTGGAAACCTCCTCCCAGTATGCACACACTGCAGAGGCAGTGCCAGGCGCACTGCCAGCCCCACAGAGACTGTCCCCTTCTACGCCAAGCCACATGCCCCGTCACCAAGCCCCTGCCTGCTGCTGTGTTTGGCCACCAGCTTTCCCGTCCCCCGCTTTCCGTTCTGGGAACACACCTTCCTCCTCCAGGGTCCAGGCGCACCCACACAGCTTCTGCCGAGCTGTAAGCATGAAGGGGTGCAGCCCAGCTCACGGGCACCCAGAAAGCTCAGTGGTCAGATGCCCTAAAATCAACAGCCACAAGCATCTGCCATGGTCCCACAGCAGCAACCCTCTCGCCACTCCCATCACTTGCTCTCTCCATACTCTGCATCCAGCCTGTGGGATGGGTGAGCGCTCCTCCACCATCTCCCCTCCACGGTGCCACATAGCAAGTGCTTAATTCCTGGTTACCCTGGCATCATACAGACCCTCAACAAGTGGAGCATCCAGCACTGTCCACCCTAGTACTTCCCGCAAGCCAGCAGCTCCCAGTGCCTCCATCCCTCCGCTTCCCCCCAGACAAGAGCCTCACTGGTGGCACGGAAGAGAGGAGCTCTCCCTCCGCAGGTGAAAATACATCCCTATTTCTAAAGATGAAACTATGGTCCTGAAGCCTAGCTTGACTCTGATCCCTTGTCCTGCAAGCATCCTTCATGCAGAGAAGAGGTATTTCCAACCTTGCTGAGGGCATGCATAACTGTCCAGACCGGCACTGTGTACAGATACCTCTGAGATGTATGTCCCCAGGAGGAAGGGAAGAGGCACGCACAGGGCTGAGGATGGAGGAGGTAAGAAGCTGAGCAGAAACACAACGCATCTCTGCATCAATACAGGCAAAACCCAGCGATGCATGTACACGCACACACGTGTGTCTGCACTCAGTGTGCATGTATCCGTGTGTGTCGTATGAGCATTTGGGTGTATGTGCACCTGTCCGGAGCACAACTATGTGCCTGTAGGAAAAAGGTGGACATGCGCACACATGTGCACTAGCCGGGTGTGCAGGCGTGCCACACGTGTGCACGCACTGCGAGGACCACATCCGTGCCTGCACTGGGAGAGCCTGTGCACCAGACAGGAGTTTGCAACCCTGCACTGAGTGCGTGTGTGTGTGCACCGAGCAACGTGTGTGCCTGTGCGGAGGGACCATGTACGCATGCCCCTCTTGCCACCGGGTGTGCATTTGTGTGATGTCACCCCGTGCGGGGGTACTTGCACCGTGTGTGTGTGTGCACTCCGACTGGGTCACACGCGTGTCTGCCAGCAGCATGCGTGTGCTCTCACACCAGACCCCAACCCCCCCATGTCCACCTGCCTTCATGAGGTGTCCAAACCCACACTGAGCTTCATTACCCCATTGCCCCGTGCTCCCTTTGGAAATGGCTGTGCGGCAAGGACAGGGAGAAGGGAAAAACGGGCAGCCCCGGCTGCTGGGAAGGGGCTCCTGGAGGATGCCCCAGCTGGGAGAGGCACCCACGCCCGCTGCCGGACTGTTTGCACAAGCCTGTTTGCACTAGGCTGGGCTGTGACTGCTGATGATGTAGCACCGTCCTGACTAAGCCTTGGCGTGACGTGAAAGATCGCAGGTAAAGGTGAAAGTCCCAAAGCAGTGCGATGCCTCACATGGCCCTGACTAAACTGGGAGGGAGGACCCCAGGAGCTGGAAATGCCAGGAGCCCTGTGCCAGCCTGGAGGAGGAAGGGAGTCACCCAAAGGTGCCAAACACCCATGCTTTCTGCTCCAAAAAAGGAGCTGGAGCCTAAACCCAAGCCCAATTCCTGCAGGTGAAGGAAACCTCCAAAACAGGGAGGCTGGAGGAAGAGAGGGGCTGGGAACCCGAGTGGGACCATCGTCCCACAAGGGACTTGCTGGCAGGCATGAGGGGCCCCGGGTTCGTCGGGGTAAGGAATCCTGCTTGGCGCCTAGGGGTGCGAATGACACAGCACAGACATGAGAGCCCAGAGCTGGGTGTGAGGAGGAGGAGGAGGAAGCCTCCACCACTGGGGAAAAGCACGTCTGTGCAGGAGACAGAGGCTTCCCAGGGGCCAGTCCAAGACATCGGGCTATTTTCCCATGGGATCTAAAGACCATCCCACACTTTCTTCTCAGGTGCCAGGCACCTTTTTCCAACCTGCTGGCAGAGCACAGAGCACTTAAAAATAAAAACCCCTCCCAAAACAACTATTCCTCCGCACACACAATTCTCCCTACGGGGAGAGTGTGAGAGACTGAACCACATGAGAGAGGCGTTAGTCACGCTGCTTAATGCATGACTGGGAAGCTCTCAGAGGACAGTGGCATGCAAAATCCTACAGAATTCAGTCACCCCCACCCCCCAAAAAAAACAAGCCCTAATGACAGAGAGGTTATAAAGCACCGAGAATTTAAGCAACTGCTTGAACAAGCCTGTGCTCCCTGTGATTCCCACAGCCCCTTGGCCCCGTTCCACGGAAGGCAGCACCGCTCCGGGAACGGGCACCAAAGTCCACCCTCTTATTGCTCCCAACGGCTGATTGCGTGGCTGGGAGCCATGCTTACAAGTCTATCCAAACCCTGCACTGAGCACACAAATACTAATCCCGCCCCCCCACCCCCCCAAAGCTCTACTCTGATGCTCAGAGCTGGAGCAACATCCGAGCAAGCAGCAAATGCTAATCACGGCTCCATGGGCTCCACTCCACGCGAGGGCCTGAGATCAAGGACCATATTGTCCAAAAAACAGCCACTGGTGTTCAGTCCTGCATCGAAGGCACGGATGGCGTGAATCCTGGGCATTTTGTGGCAGGTCCCATGGTTTCCTTCGGCTCCGGCTGCCACTGCAGCTGCTCAGCATTTATGCAGGCTGGGCCCAAGCACCCCGAAGCCAGAGCACCCCGTAACGAGGAACCCCACTTGCTTGTGAACAGCTTTACCCCAAAATCATCTCTTATGAGCTGCACAGTGGTGAAAAGAGGGCAAAGCCTGGGGCCCTCCCTCCTTCTGCCTCCTTCTCCACATCCCTTCCAACTCCGGCAGCCAGCGAGGCAGAGACCTGTCAGAGCCTCCCTAGGGCGGCAGCCCCCATTCTCCCACCTCGGGGGTCCCCCACAGCCCCTCCGGGGTCCTGCGGGCTCCTGTCCCCTCCTGCCACCATCCCACCCTCCATCCCGGCCTGGAGGGAGGTCCTGGGGGAAGGCAAAAACGTGGCGGGCCTGAAACACCCCACCCCGGCAGGGCCGCAGGGAGCCGGCGGCAGCGGGAGCGGCTCTCCTCCGGGACTGCAGCCCGGAGGGGCTGGG